CGACATCATTAGGGACGGGCTGCAGTGCAGTGGCAGTTAGTGCGGTGCCAAAGCAGTGTCCGGTCTGGGACGCTGTGTGTGTTTTCTTCTCACAGAAGACGACGGTGTAGAGCCAGGCTGCTGACAAGCCCTGTCGCTTGTAGGGGACAGACGCATTACGCAGCACTACGCCATCATTTACTGCAGCAGCAGCAGCAGCAGCAGCAGTCGCTTGATTATGATGGCCGCACTTTTTTTAGCTGGTCTGTGTCGAGACGGGCAGGCATCTCATTTGAAGTGGTAGTGAAAGCAAGAACTACTTTCACAGGCTCCCCTGCTTCGTGTTCCTCCATCGTGTTCTTTTCTCTGCTTCTTTTTACTGTTTTTTTGTTGGACTGTGTTTTTACTTTGACACGCAATTTGAAATGCTGGTGCTACTGCTGTTGATGCCGATGCCTTTCTCTCTTTTGCTGTTGGCACCAGCCAGAGTGTGTTTGTCGTACTTTGCCGCTCATTCTCCTGCTGCCCTTTATTTTGTTGTATTTATTCTTGCTGCTTCTGTGCATTGCGCCTTGTTTAGTGCCCTTTTTCCTCCTCTTCAATCTCGGTCCTCATCATGTGCCGCTACCAGTTTTTTTGGTTGGTNTGTGCATTGCGCCTTGTTTAGTGCCCTTTTTCCTCCTCTTCAATCTCGGTCCTCATCATGTGCCGCTACCAGTTTTTTTGGTTGGTTGTTGTTGTTTTTCTCCTGCTGATGCTTTATTACTCTTCGGTTCGTTGGTTCGTTGGCTGGACATTGGGCTTTGCTTTCGGTTTTGCTTTGCTCTTTTGGTTGTGTGCCCTTTTCCAGACTTCAGACCCATTTATTTCCATTAGTAGAGGGGCGCACCTGCTGGTGCTTTTATTTGCTGTTTGTTTGGCGTTCACCTTTTTGTGCTCTTTTCTTTCTCTCAACTGTCAGAGCTGAAATTTGTTGTACAGTAATGCGCAGTAGTAGTACAGTAGCTGCATCGGCGGCGGCAGCAGCAGTAGCCGCTTAATCCGGTTGAGCTCTTCGTGTGTTGGAAAGGCATCAGCAAGCAACAAAAGCAGCAGCAGCCTTTTGTAATCTTTTGTGTCGTTTTGAAGTGGCTCCTGTCCAGCCTGCCGCTGCTTCGCATGACCACTTTGCCCCCTCACTTTTGTGCCATCCAAATTGGCTCTGTTTTCTGACAGCAGAAGAGTTGCCGTTTCTGCTGCTGCTACTGCTGGTTTATCAGCCTTTTTATTTCGTTTTTTCTAAAGTAGTTTTTGAAGGTTCGAAGCTGCTGCTGCTGGTTTTCATCTCTGTCCGTCCTGTGCTGCATTTCTTTTCTTCATTGAGAGATCAGCAATTGGGTTTTTTATTGCCGCAGTGTATGATCTCATACAGTTGCTTATTACTATTACCGTGGACAGGCAGTGACTCTAGAGTTGATCAAGTTGTGCTATACTGAAGAGGAGAGGGGAGGGAAGGGCCACTTCAGACACTGACAAAACGGGCAATTTATCTGTCGGGTTTTGACTACATTTTACTGCCGCTTCTGCTGCTGCTGCTGACGCAAAGCAGACTTTCCACTTTTTTATTATATCGATTTTACCTCATGGACGGACAAACTCGAAAGTGGGCGCCTAGTATACCAACTGCCAGCTCGGCATGCTGCAGGGGCATTTGTGTCTGTTTGTCTGTTTGTCAGTTTGTGTGTAGATTTGTGATCTAGATGGTGAGGGAGAAGAGGGAGAGGGAAGAATCCCCAGTGGCCACGAATTCTCTGCACGAATATTCTCCCTGACTCGAGTTGTGTGTGAGTGAGTGGGGAGACACACGTTTCACCATTTGGTGACCACGGCGGTGGTGGTGTGGTGAGAATGTCCACAGTGTGTGCATGTTTGCTCGCCACAAGTGCAGCCACTGACCACTTCTTCTTCTTCTTCTTCTTTTACTCTGTCTCTTTTCACTCGAGCACTCGTTAATTGTGTGATTTGTACGGCGAGGGCGAATGCAGAGAGGGGCTCTCTTGGAGCTCATTGCTGCTGTGTGTACCCAAAGCTCTCTCACTTTACTTATTATTGAATTAACGCAGAGTCGGTTCGTTGGCTGGCTGGTCGGCGAGACCTGCCTGTCTTTTGCCGATTCAGCGTGACGAGCCAGCGTGGACAGAGTTCTTTTGCTTCATGTTCTCTTGGTCCGGTCCTGAGGAATGTTCGTGAATGTGTGCAGAGCAGAGTGAATCCCTCTATATACCTGCTGCTTTTGCTGCNCGGTCCTGAGGAATGTTCGTGAATGTGTGCAGAGCAGAGTGAATCCCTCTATATACCTTCTGTNGAGACCTGCCTGTCTTTTGCCGATTCAGCGTGACGAGCCAGCGTGGACAGAGTTCTTTTGCTTCATGTTCTCTTGGTCCGGTCCTGAGGAATGTTCGTGAATGTGTGCAGAGCAGAGTGAATCCCTCTATATACCTGCTGCTTTTGCTGCTGTTTCTGGAGCAGTTTTTGCAACAAGAACGGGGACAACGGAGTTGTCCTAAAGCGGGGAGAGATGGTAGGAGGAGGAGGAAGAGTTCACAAATTGCAGCCATAATTGGCAATGGCTTTTTTGCTCTCACTTTCTCTTCTTCGCTCATTTGCTCCCCTCTTTCCCCATTACCAATTATAATCATGCATCTCATTTTCGGGTACTACCTCTGCCGCTGTTCACTATCACTTCCTCCCCTAATTACAATTGGCACTCCTCATTTTTCCGACGGTATCCAGTTTCACAAGTGCGCACTAGGGTTTCCTTCTTCTTCTTCTTCTTCTTCTTCTTTACTGCCTTTTCTTTTATTTTTCTGTGCCTAGTTCTATTCTTTTATTCCTGAATCGACTAACCGTTTTTGTTTTTCCCCTCCTCTTCTTTCCTTATAGCAATTCGGACCCATCCTCGATGTGGAGATCATCTTCAACGAGCGCGGCTCCAAGGTAAGTACCGTTGCATTTGCCGTTGCTGTTGCTGCTGTTTTTGTCAGCATAATGAATTAATTAGCAGGCATTGGAAGGGGGATTGAATGCCGTTGCCTTTGCAGCCGCAGCGGTCGTTTCCTTTATCACCGAGAACGTCTTCTTTATCTTATTATTTCCTATAACTAGTCCTATTATTAGTTCAAGTGGTGGGTAGAAAAACGATCAGCAGTAGTGTAGAGGTAGAGAGGTAGCAGCAGCTCAGGTGCAGGCACACAGGCGCAAGCACAGGGAAATTATCCTTTGGTTCCCTCCGTTGCACCCTTTTCAGGAAAAGCTCTTTAGCAGACAAATGCCGCTGCCGGGGCCGTTGTCTCTTTTCTTCGCTTTCTCTTTCTCTCAACTGAACACAGTAGACAAAGGCTGCTGCTGCTGCCGCTGTAATTTGTCGCTGGTGGTGATTAATGCCTAGCTCATTCTCGCTCACTTGCTCTCTCTCTCTCTCTCTCATTATTCTCCTTCTCGAATACCCACACACACACTCACTTTGTCGGCTCGTTTCGTTTGGAACGCAGTACACACCGACACGCAGTGTCCCGGTATCTTTTGTGTGTGTGCAAACGAAAGAGAAAGCGAAAGACTGAATACGTGTCACGATCGGCGATTGGCAATAGCGCGCACCAGAGCGTTCCAGCACCACCACCACCACCAGCGTGTACAACCGCAAAAGAAAAGACAAAGGAGAGAGAGAATGAGAATGATGGTACCTCTCGGGGTAAGCCTGTCTGGAAATTGCTGGTTTCAGACAGACAGACCACAGCAGCAACAGCACCAGCAGCCTGCTCATTCTCTGCAAGGAAAAGAAGCGCATTAATTGCCATTCACTGGTGCCGCAAAATGAGATTCCCCTCGCTCTTTCTCAATTTGTCCGTTAACGCCTTGTGCGGTGCTGGCTGTGTGTGTATGTGTGTCTTCCTGCCTGTCTGCCTAGCTCGCCGTCTCTAATGGCTCGCCGACTAATCGAGTTTCAGGAGGACTGATTCAGGCCTGCTGTTGTTGTTGCTGCTGTTGCTGTCGTCATCGATGGCCACCAGCTTGTTCTTGTTCTTTTTTCTTTTGGCTGTCTGATGAGCGGAGGACCCTCTGCTGCTGCTTCTCAGTTTTGGGTGGTGTCGCCTAATTTGAAGCCTGATTGACTCTGCTGATCAGCAGAGACTTTGNCTCGCCGACTAATCGAGTTTCAGGAGGACTGATTCAGGCCTGCTGTTGCTGCTGCTGTTGCTGTCGTCATCGATGGCCACCAGCTTGTTCTTGTTTTTTTCTTTTGGCTCTCTGATGAGCGGAGGACCCTCTGCCGCTGCTTTTGCTGTTGCTGTTTCTCATTTTTGGGTGGTGTCGCCTAATTTGAAGCCTGATTGACTCTGCTGATCAGCAGAGTCTTTACGGCAAAGAAGTTAGAGCCATCAAGTCCCATATGCTGCCAGAGTGGACGCAAAAAATGTACAGAAGAGAATGAAGGGAAAAGGCAGGCAGAGATGACCGCGTTCTGTGTGTTGAAAGTGGTTTGGCCGGCCGAAAAATAGTTTTGGTCAGCCTTTTTTCTTTTTTTTTTTGCGTTTTTTGGTAGTGGTGACTGCCGCCGCCGCCGCTGCCGCTTTTATATCGTATTCACTTGGCTATTTGAGCAGGATCTTTTTCGTCCACTTTCGCCTTTTTTCTTCCTCTTTTTTCTCCTTTGGCACTTCTGCTCCTTTGTGTAAGGGAAGAGGGGAGAGAGATCGGGAAGGCGAAAAGTTGACATGAAGTGGGCCGAGAAGTGGGCAGGCGTCCAGAAAGAGTGAAAGTGAGTAAAACTACCAAACTGAGAGTCGCTCAGCAGGCATTCATCTCACGACACGGTCATTTTCACTGTGTTCGGTGCACTATCGCACACACATCTTTTAGTGTGTATGTGTGTACATGCTGATGATGATCCATCTCGGTTAGAGCTGATATCTTCTTCTTCTTCCTTCCTTCGTGATGCTCTAATCTGCAGCGACGTGTCGTTGCGGAATAATAAACACGCAGCGATACAGACAGGATAGGACAGTCAATGTGATTAGTGAATGTGTGTGTGTGTGTGTCTCTTTCGCTTGATCGATTGACCACTTCAGGCAAAAGTTGGTTAGAAAAAGAAAGGGCGAAAGAGGAGTACTCTCTCGGGGTTGGAGTGTAGTGTCCGGTAGTGTCCAGCGACCGATCTGATTTTGTATGCGTACTCACTCGCACTGTTTATTTTGCAATCATCTAACTTTTTTTCTCTTTTCTTCTTCAACTCTAGGGCTTTGGCTTTGTCACCTTTGCCTCGAACGTGGACGCCGACCGAGCCCGGGAGCAGCTGAATGGCACCATCGTCGAGGGGCGGAAGATTGAGGTGAACAACGCTACGGCGAGGGTACAGTCGAAGAAGCCGATGACGCTGAGCGGCATCAGTGCCGGTGGCGGCGTAGGAATGCCCAATGGTATGCCTGGTTCTGCCGGAGGCGGTATGGGCCCGGGAGGCGTCGTCGGCGTGGGACCCTCATCGGCGACGGCCGCCGCGGCCATGTCCGCCATGGCGGCGATGAACGCGGCAGCGGCCGGCTCCGGCGGTGGACCGACTTCCGCCTCGGCGGCGGCGGCTGCAGCGGCTGCGGCTGCGGCGGCCGTCAACGCCAATGCCAATGCGGCCGCCGCGGCGGCGCTCATCTCTAACGGTAGGTGGCAGAAAAGAAGGTTCTTTTTCTTTTGGTTGGTGGAATCGCTTGATTTGCCGATTCATCATCGAAAAAGCTCAGCTATCTCAATCCGACCTTTTTTTTATCAGCGAGAGCTTTAGTACTAAACGGATTTGGCCGGGCCAAAAAGTGCTGGCGCGGAATTGCCGCAGATAGCAGCTGCATCAGTGGCAGGATTAGTTACTCTCGAGTTCAGGTCGATTCCTCTTTTTCTCTCTCCACTGCAGGGCAACTTATTAATAATACACAAAGAAGGGGCATAGATTCCCTCCTGCTCTCACTTTCTGCCTGAGCTCAGCTGCTGCTGCTACAGTGGATGCTTCCTAATTGGAGGGATGCTCGCCCGCTAGCTCCTGAGGATTCGACTGCTGCTGCTGCTGCAGCATTCTATAGAGCTGTTTCACTGTTGCAGTCAGCAGCAGCAGCAGCAGCATCAGCTGCAGAATACTAATTAGTCGAGTGTAGCTGGTGCTGGTGCTCACCAGTGAATGCAAAATGCCCTTTTCAGAGAGAGAAGTTCACGGCGAGGACGAGGACGACAAAACGTTTTCTCCTTTTTTCAGTCTACTGTACAGTAGCTGCAACCACGGCCAAAACCGAAGGGAGCCAAAATTGCGACACTGAATTGAATTGTAAGCCCAGTCGCAGCCAGCCATTGATACCGATGTACTGAGGTTCTACTGCTGCTGCTGCTGCTGCTACAATTGAAACAACTTTACCAGGAAAAAGCAACTATTTAGTTGGTCCTTTCAGTCGCACTTTCCCTTTTGAGTGCTGCTGCTGCGCTGT